TGAGGAAAAGGGGACAACGCTTTCGGTTTTTTGCCTAGATATTAAACCTGAGAGGATAACACAACCAGAGGGGCAGGGATCATTGCACAAGCACTTTGATTATTGTTTCAGGACGAGAACAAAATTGATTTTCCCCGCATCTTGTTGACAAGCTTTCTTTGCCGGGAACAGGCAGCTTCTCCAGCACCAGAGCACTCGGGCCGGCTAGAGCTGCAGAGCCAGGGGAAATGCCACAGATTGCCTTGGTCTGATTATTCAGAAAATAATAATAAGAATAAAAACTCTCGGAACTATAGGTCCTGATTAAAATGCCTTTTGGCTGCAGTTTCCATTTAGATATGTTTCTAATGAAGAGGCGTTTCCACTCGTGAAACCTTGGGTTGCCTCTCCCATCAGTAATAACAATTACGCGGACGGAGCCTGCGTATTTTCTGGTATATATAGTAGGCTCAGATATGGTTGCTCCGGACGTAGGCAACACAGCTAAGCAAGCACGAGGAACGGCACAAAGCAGCTACCTATTTAGATGGGGCTATTGCCTTCCTGGAGGAAATAAACTCATAATTTCATAAAGAGGCATATTTGAACTGTGCTCCTACCCACTCACTTGCTTGCAAGTGCTGCTTGTAAAAACACAGTGGTCCAGACGATTTTGGAAGTAAATACCGGATTTCTAGGAGGGCAGAAGTGCAGCCATCTTCCCGAAAGCTTTCCAGAGAGCCCCAAAGGTAATGCTCGGGTGATGTTTCGGGAGGGAGAAGGAAAAGCAGACCAACTTGGAGGCGCATTTCTCTCCGTCCAGAATGGCCACTCTTACCTCATTGCCCAAGGCAGACAAAAACCTACCTCACTGATTGCGGGGTGACTGCCAGTGGAAAAGCGGGGAGAAGCAGCGTCGGGCAGGGGACGTCCACCTAGCCACCTACAGCAAAAGGCACCATCCCCGTGTCCCTCCAAATCTTGGAGACATTCAGCCCCTGTGCTGAGAGCTGGCGCATTGCGGACAATAGAAGTGTCTTCATTCGCTAGCATTGCCCTAATTAAAAAACCTAGAAGCAACCCCAATGATGCAAGCCAGGAAAAAAACAAAAAACAGATAAAGCCCCTTTTCTTATTCCCTCCTGGAATACTATTCAGCCGGCTACAGTCCATGAGAAATTGAGCCTTGACGTTGTCCTTCCCTGTCCTAGCACTCCCAAGTACAACCAGAGCCTTTATTACACCGATGATGTGAAATCCGAAGAGGACCCTCGGGTAAAAAGATTAAAAAAGCAGGATTCATTTATTAATCGTGTGTGATCCACGATGATGGTTTATTATAAAGCTTCTAATCTAAATTGCCCAAGAAAGGAGGAGAAACAGAAGAGTCAGGATCTCAGTTGAGACATGATGCACAAATATGTGTATTATGTATGTCTGTATGTGTCTGTATATACATTGATGCTCTTATTTCAGCAGCACCCGTTGTGTGTAACCGTGTGCGCACACACAGACGTACTTACTGGCGGGCGCATATTGTCCATAGAGGCACAGGCGGGAGAAAATGGTGCATGTTTTCACGCGTACCCATACTGCAGATTTCAGCCACCCGCCCCGTGGGCACATGTGTGCACAGACGGGTGCGGCATGCTTAGTGGGCGTGCGGGAGATGCACCCTAGTGAGGTGGATGTGCCCCACGCCCTCCGGATGGATTATCTCCAGTGTCTTTCCAGCTGCATTTCACCCCCGGCCCCGGATTTGGGGCCACACCAGCCCCGTGGGCACATGTGTGCACAGACGGGTGCGGCATGCTTAGTGGGCGTGCGGGAGATGCACCCTAGTGAGGTGGATGTGCCCCACGCCCTCCGGATGGATTATCTCCAGTGTCTTTCCAGCTGCATTTCACCCCCGGCCCCGGATTTGGGGGTGCAGGGGGGGCCGGGGGGAGCAACGGGCACCAGCTTGCTGAGCCCACGCCCGCTTTCCCCCGCAGCACGCAGGCGGCTATCCATCCCTTTATTTACTCTAACATAAACATCTTTGCATTCCGACCGCAGCCTAAACGTGATAAAGCCCTTCCGAAAGGGCTCTCCATTCCTCCTCGTTTGATAAGGCTGCAAACGCAACTCGCCTTGTTGGGAATGGCTCTGGATGCCTTTGTGCTTCCTAAAAGAGCATAAATAATTAAAGTTTGGCAGGGAGGAAAAGCTTTCTTGCAGAACTGTAGTGGCAATAAATGAAATGACTCAGAATCTCTTCTCCAGTCGGTTTTTACGAGAGCTGCCAGACAGTGTCTGTTCACGTTCTCCAGATACTAGGGGCGCCATAACAAAGTTAAGGTCAAGTTAGTGTCTTATCTTGGGTGGCACAAAACCACCGCATCTTCTCCAGCCGGACTGGGTATATTTTGAAACCTGAATGTTATGCAAGTCTCCTTAATTTCCACCGAGGTCTTTTGGAAATGTCACTTGGACCTGAATACTTGGTTGTTCCAGGCAACGGTTGCAGATGTTTCAAGACGCCTAACGGTAAAGTATTTGCCTGTGTACATGATGTGCGTTTCTGTTTCGATGTTCTGTAATCTGCATGAGGAAAAAAAAAAAAAAAAAGAAAGAAAAAAAAGGTGGGTGAGTGGATACGTAATGCTCAAAGCTGGGCTGGAAACCGAACCCAGGGTGAAAATTCTCTGGCAGGCGGGGACCTCTAGCTCTGCCTTATTCCAGCGGGGTCTCTGCTGCGATACTGGCCTCACATTCCCCTAATTATATCGCTTTTTAAGGGAGTGTTTCCTAAAAGGCTGTTTTCGTATTAACAAATCGTCGCCATGTCTTTGAACTTGAATTAGTTGAAACCGGTTGGCTCCTGCGCCAAAATTTAATTGATGCTAGTCTTGCTGCATCGAAAGGAAGGTGAAGAATTCTGGCTAGGGCGTAGTTAGTTGCTTTAAAAGTAGAGAAAATTAAGCTACATACGTTCTCAGAGCCATTTCTCCTGCTGAGAGAGGCGATCAGAATCTTGGGGGCACAATCCAAACGGATCCCTGCCCTGCTCTGCCGCAAGCTCAGGGTGGTAAGTGACAGAGGAGCCATTTTAACTGCGCAGGCATAATTCTTAAGAGATTGCACATGTGTTGCAGCAGAATCGAAGGGGCTCGAAATTTCATTGATAACAGGAGGAAATAGTGGTATTCTGCCTTGATTTCAACTGATACCTTCGGACAGTCTGTTTGTTTGCTGGAAGCCATGTGTGGCGTTTGAGGTAGTTTGAGAATGAGGCACCAAGGTAAAAATGCACCATGTTGTACAAAGAAACGCAGAAAGGGGGAAAAAACCAACAAAAAAAAAAAAAAAAAGAATGAAAGAACGAGTTTCACCTTATCTGCCTAGCTTTGGTCTTTTGCTTTTTCCAAAAGACAAGCTGACCTGCGGTGTGAAAGACCCTTGGGCAGCCCTCGCCTACTCTGGGGGGCCGAGAATGCAGAAGGGGCCGTGCCGGTACCGGTGCTGGCGGCGGCTCCGGGGCGGGGATCAGGATGCGGGGCGCAGCCCGTGCTGCAGGGCTCCTGCCTCCGCAGCCTCTCTCCGCAGCGGCGAAGGGAGGGTGCGCAACCTACGCCTGCCCGGACCCTCCGCGAGCGCGGCCGCCTTGCAGAGCAGGGGCGACCCTGGGCCTTCCCCCCACTTGCCTGAGGCTCTTTTGGGGCCGGTTCCCTACCTGTTGGGCTCTCTGCTTACTATGGGATTTGGATGCTGCCTTTTGGGATGTGATCTGGGGCCTGCCGCCCGGCCGGGGCGCCGAGGGATGCCTGGGTGGCTCGGGGTGACCCTCCTCGGTGTGGAGAGCTCGCCCACATTTCGGGTTTGTTTGAAGAGCGGCATGTGGCTGGGCTGCTCTAGCTATGCTGTGCGATGACGGAAAAAAGACATTCCCATAGAGAGCTGGCAAACGTTTCTGGAACGAGGAATTGCTTGAGCATAAGGCTGTTGCTGGCTCGTATTATTTATTCGCTTCTCTTTTCAGCCTTTGTGACCCGTTTTGTGCTGGTCTATGTAAAATCATACTTCAAGGAGGAAAAGAAAACTGGCAAAAATGAGCCCTCGAGGGCAGGGTGGTGGCGGGGCTGGTGGGTGTTGTGCGCGTCGCCAGCTCCCAACCCTGCTTTTTCCCTTCCAATGAAAATGAACGTTTTGGTGGGAGTTGGAGGCACGGGAACAGAGGTCACTTTGTATGCTACTCTACTTCCCAAGGAAACCGTGCTTGGTGGACTTATCTTCCTGCCCTAGCCCTTTGCTTTCCGGAAGAGCCCGAAAGTGTCTCCCTTTCATAAAACCGGCTACGGAGAGATGTTCTGTTGGCGTATTTCTCATTTCTGTTTGTCTCTAGCGCCCTGACACAAGCGCGCAGTGTCTGGGCTTATAAGCGAGGGAAAATGAGGTGATCGGGACTCGGGCTTTGAATTTCCTGACCGGTTTTGATGCCAGCTGTGGACTGCCGGAGCCGGGCGGGCAGATCCACTCCTACCCTCGAGAGTGTAAATGGGACTTGGCTTTCTTGAGTGAACCATCACCCGCTCGTCATCTGCCTGAGCGGCGGGCAGCCGGCACTGCTCCCTCTCACCGGGAGCGAGCACGTTT